CTTTACTTCGATCTTGGCGACGGTCTCTTCCTTCACCTCCTTCACCTGGCCGCCGTTCAGTGCATCGCACGACGTCGCTACCTCCAATCACTGGCGACCGCGCGATTGGTAGCACCACATCATCCAACAATCAGGTGCAAAAAAAACACCAAGGACACTGTTTAACACTGTTTGACTGTTAGACATAACAGGTGGATTAAATATTGACTGATGCAAAGCCTCCTCAATTCCATCTTCCAGTATCTATTTAAAAAAAAGATTTACTTGCCGCATACATATGGTCTATTCATTGACCCCAGAATTTGGGCCACTTACCCAGGGAGAAGATGAATGTGTAACGTGTTGAAAAAAAGAAAACGATTGGGAGTGCCCAGGCAAAACACCCTGATTAGACAGTGGGAGGGGGGCGTGAGGGTTCATCGCAGCAGCTGCGCATGGGAAAAGCCCGAGGTGGTGAAAGAGAAATGATCCAAACCCTTTGCATCTATTCGCACGTAGCTTCCCTTGAGCAAAAAAAAGCAACGCAACACCAACTAACTACCACAACCCACCCAGCCAAGCTACAAGTTCACGAGGCTTGAAGTGTGGCACCATCCAGGTCCCAACTGAAGGAGACATGTGGAACGGCAGCTGAGTCCTTGGAGCGACCGCCTCATCCCGGCGGTCTGTGAGTGACTGGCGCCGCAGGAGTGACCTACACGACTCATGGGACTGCCAGTCCGGACTGCCGCCCCAGCCAGACCCCCCTGGCACCACCCCAATGGGGCGGCAGTCCTATGGCAGTCCCATTAGTCGTGTCTGGGATATGATGGAAGCTTGAGGGGTTGGTACCAGGAGTCACATAGGGTGGTACCATGAGTGGTTGAACTATAGAGTGAAGCACTATAAGTGGGGTTGGTGCCAGGTACCATTTACCGAGCTTGGTGCTGCACCACTTGGGGGTGTCCTCGAATATTCATCAACCAGTATAGTAGTACTAAAAGGCCATCTACCAGGAGTCACATGGAGTGGTTCATGGGCACCCCATCCAGTGAGAGGATGTGACAGGGGCACCCCGACTTCCTCCATGGATCGCACCCCGTCGAACGTGACTGCTGGAAAAAACACACGATTTAAATCATGTTCGTACTCACGACGTCCTCCAGCAGCTGGCACTGAAGTAAGACTGCACCTCTAGGACTCGGTCCGGGGTGGACATGTTCAGTGACTACAACACCCCACGCGCTGTCAGTTCTCCCTTTTCTCTAACCAATAGGTGACGAAAGGAGACGGTGCCATCTGACACCCGACACCGTCGGGACACCCTTCCGTCGGACTGGATCGAACCGGACTGCACCGCCCGGACGAGCTGCTTCGAAGACCTGCTCACTTCACCCAAGACCTGCAAGGAAAACTCACTCAGAGAGTCCCAAGAGCGGAACTGGTGGCAGCCAGAAGAAACATAGCAAGGAACTGAGTATCTCAGCGCCAACACGCATGTTACATCATGTTACCAAGTAATCATGGCTGGTGCTCATCTGTATTTTCTCCAGCTTGCCTTACTAGCTTATTGAACCGGCCAGCAGTAAATTCTAGCCCTCAATGTCATTCGGAAGAAGAATGCTGGCCACGCAAGCATCTCCCAAAATTATGATGGTCGCCTGGCCGCCCCCTACTTTTGATAAGTGGTTGACTTATATATATAGTAAGTGAACTGGTTGACTTAACCTTTCTTTCGCTTCCATGGCCTGGAAACGTTGGTGGATGGCATCCCACGCAGTGGATGGCAAGGTCTTGAGATGCCTGGGCGGCCGAAAACGCGTGGAGCTGACTCCGAGAGTGGGGGAAGATCGAACTTCGATGACCGAACCCCCCAGGGCTCCAACCGAACACCTAAAGATGCAGGCAGTAGTGGACCAAGCCACTATCAGCCAGATGATCGACCAGACTGTCCCAAGAGGCTGAAGATCACTGGAGTCGAGCCCCCTAGGAGGTCCAGTCGTTCATTTTGAAATATTCTAAAAAACGGTCGGACTTAGTGGCCAAAAGAACCTCCTTTGCTTCAGATATACACTCCCCAGAAACAATCATGGAAAAGGGATGGAATGCCCCGAAAACTCGGAAGACCATGGAATCTGACAAATTACCAAGATCGAGGTGAACACTTTCATTCCACTTCAACTTCCATGTTGGTGACTCGGAATGAGTCGTCTTTGGACTTCTAGGTAGGGGGAAGATGCGTCTTTTTTCCCCTGAAGTCAGGGTTTGGCGTACCCTTCACCTCTTTTTTGAGAATACATTTTTTTACACCCCTGCTTTAACGCCCTAAAACCATGCCAAACCACGTATCCCAAACACTCCATGTACAGAACAATGAATATGATTAACCCTTGACAACCACCCCTTATAATCCCTTACATCGGTGAGTATGCCAGTCCTCCAGTCCGTCCGAAGTATCTGGGGACTGCTTCGAGGGACACGTCTCGACCGTTTTCGACCAAGTGGCATCTTCTCGACCTGCGGGCTAACGGTGAAGCAAGTAGAAGCTCTTCATCTTGGATTTGCTTTTTAGGATCTGGGAACAAACGTTAAAACCCATAAAGGAAATACCAGAACATCACCTGAAGCAAAACCAGGTCGTCCCCATGGTGCCAAACACAAGACAGAAGTGAGCAGGTCTCACGACCGGATCCGCCGGGAGGGCGTGGATCCGCCGAGTCCGCCGAGTCCGCCGAGTCGGACACAGATCTTCACCAAAGGATCATGGACCCAACAGTTGCATGTTAGGTGTTGCTTCGTTCTGAAACCGGACGTTGTGAGAGAAGAATAATCCCCGGAAGGCGAACGACGAACAGGTTGGGTGTAAACTCTGAGCCTTTGGGTAACTGTCATGGGAAACTAGAACTGTCATGGGAAACTAGGATGCGTCTCCTCTTTATGGTAAGTTCGCGTAGCACCTCCCAGCACTGCTGTACAATATGATCACCTCAAAACTCAAAATCCACATATTCCCAGCCCCAACTGCCGATGAACCTGCGACCCAGTATCGAATTTGCAAACTCATTGCACCAGTTGTTTTGGTTCAGGAGTGAAGCCCCAAACGGTGGAGTGAAGCCCCAATTCACCAACACCACTGTCAGTTTGGCTCACCCAAGACGGTTCCATTCATCATCATCCATTCATCCTTCGACTGCTCTGTCAACCAACTGGTCCAGAAATCGATCCACTCTGCGGCGAAGAAAGCCCGGCAGTTGATTTCAGGGGTCCATGGGGGTTGAGAACGGGATGGAACGGGAGAGGTTCTTTTTCTTTCCCGAATTCAGTGGAGGTTGGTCTGAGTGGACCCTCAAGTCTGCTCAAACACTTCATGGATGCCAAAGGACCACGTGGACCCTGAAAGAACCACTGGAAAATGCTCTTCCATGGTTATTGCAGGGGACGCCGCTGAACTGCTGCCGGTAGAGTGTCAAGGATCACACCTTCGGTCACCCCAACATCCCCACCTGCGGCACCGGGGCGACCTGCGCGGCAGAGTTGGCAGGTTGAAATCCAGAAGGTGGATGACACTCCAAATTAGAGGCTAACCATTCGGTCAGCTTTGCCAAAGTAGATCCATATCCAGTTTCATTCAATATGTTTCAATATGCTAATCTATATATTTTTGTATGTCTTGTCTTGTGAATCTGTGCTTTACTTGCACCAACAGCCCATCCTGAGAAGGGGTCCGTTAAAAGTGGTTCAAGAGTTTTATTGCAGTGGTGACGCCTGGGTCATAGTTGGAAGATCAACAAATGAACCAACAAAGTACACCGGCCTCTCGCAAAAGCAAATGGCTGATTTGGCGTGCGGATGGCTCCCAAGGTCAATGGCCCTGGCTCCCAAGTCGGGTTAGACCAGTCACACGTGCAGTGCTCCTCAAGGGGGCCATATGAGCCCAACACAAACCAAAACCGAAAGCGAGCCACGAACCTCACCCGATTCCTCAACGGAAAAAGCGGTCCTCTCGACGTGCTGCACATTCGGCGGCGTAGCGTATCACGGTCCTCATTGATTTGGGCATTGTTTTGGTATCCACAGAGGCCGACCAAGAAAAGAACCTCCATCCTCGACGTCCGCTTATCCCATCCAGCATTCAACCCCGAAACCTGGAAGCGCGCGTGGATGGCTTGCCACGCGTCGGCCGGCAAGGTCTGGATCTGCCTACGACCCGAACGCTGCATGCGGGGAGTGGTTGCGGTGGTCGAGGGTTGATAGAAGACATGGGCAGGAAACCTTGAATGTCAGAAAGTGCTCCCAAAATTAGAAAACAATCAGTCGATAATATTCAATACATCGGATAGCATATCTGTATTATATAGTTAGACCATGTTAGACCACTCCAGGCAAAGAACCATCATCTTCCAAAACGGAACATGTTGACAAACACAAACCTATTCAGCTAGGCTACATGACCTCTGAGTACCTCCATATCGCTTCTTCTCCCCGTGTGCCCTAGAAATCCAACTACCTTCTCAGAAGTTCATGTGTTCGACACTCTTATGTCGGTGCCAAAACGGTCCAGTCGTGCCAAACCGGGGTCGCTACGGTGGATCCGTCGTGCAGCGCTGGAAGCAGATCCGAAGGATGAACACCGGAGATCCGAAGGAGGCGGTGTGGGAAGCACACAGCGGTCTAGGACTGGAAGGTGATGCGGTCGAGAAAGCCATTGGTACTCCTTTTTCCATCGGTGTCACACCCTCCTTTAAGGCCTCATATATATATATATATAGATCATCACCTCCACATGAACATCACCGCAGCAAAAAAGCACCTCGACCTCGCGACCTTAACATCCTCCCGGACCGAGCGGACCGCGGTCGGACCTCCAACGATCTCCGCAGCTGGTCGCCGACCGCCACGAGCAGCGACGGCGGCCGCGCCTGGGTGCCCTGGATCCGATGCCTGCGGCCTGCGATGGAAAACGAGCGGACCACCAACGGCCGGTGGAGCGGAGTGACTGGAGGAGCCAAGAAAGGTGAAATGACCTCAAAAATAGACACATAACCTGGAGTACCGAACTGGGATAGTCGAACAGTCGGGTTCTGACCCACCTCTGTTGGAGTTCCTGTGACTGGAGGGAGGGAATGTGGGTCAGTCGGGACGACCAAAAGACACCATGACTGTGTGATGGAAGTTCTTTTTCTCACTGACACCATCAGTTTACGTTTAAAGAATAACAGCTAACTTAACCTTATTGCACCTGTTTCTTTTTCGTGGGGAATCAACAATATTTTAATATATTATAGAAGGGACTATATTGAAAATTATCCAAATGGTCCATGTCTTTACACTTGATCAGCACCTAGCTTTAGGTGCTTTATGCCAAGGAGTCTGCCGTCTACCTTAACTGGCGAATGGAGACTTGAAGTACTACGTAAGCCCCCCAAAAAAAACAGGGATCACCTTCCCATCTTCTAGGGATCCAAGTACCTTCTCAGAAGGTACGACTGGACAATCCAAACCTAGATAAGAGTGTCTCCAATCACCTTCTGAAGGTACTTGGATCCGTAGGGATCTTCAGGCAGGAAATCTTTGGCTGAAAAATGCCCAAAGCAGCCACTGAGGGATGTCTAAATTGTCTGGACTTCCTGGAATCAGCCACCAGGAAGTCAGATGGCCAGCAAAATCAAAATGGTCTGGACTTCCTGGTGTCAAAAATGGACTGAACCCGCCTGTTTCACACACCCGCGGGGCCACAAGCCTCTGTGACAATCTCAGTTGTGTATTTTTCTCGAAAATGCAATATCTTCCCATTTGGAAATCTTTGGAGGGGTTCATCTGAAAGCAGCTGAAAACTGTTCTCCAGTTGCCTTCCTTTGTCTGGGTACCACGTGTTGCTACACAAATGAAGATGGTCTAAGGTCGATCGTCAAGAAAATGCACCATACATCTACACTGACTGTTGCCCCAAAAAGAAATGCACTGCTGATGCCACAAGATGGAGGCCTCCGCTGCGCAGCTGTTTCTTGAGAGCTAGAACCCTCTGTCCAATGCTTCAATCAATGTCTTGAGTGGTCCGGGTTGGCGAACCAAACGACCCACAACTCTTGGGAAGCTCGATTCAGTCTGTTTGAAGTGGCAGATTCAGTTTCTTATGGCCAAGGTCTGGCAGTTGTGCTGGACCATCAACAAAACCACAATGATCATTCCCAAAGCTGTAGGTGTGGTGGGAGCATGCGCATGTTACCACCTTGGGATACAAGCAATCATGACTGGTGCTCATCTGTATATTTTCCAGCTTGCCTTACTAGCTTATTAAACCGGCCAGCAGCAAACTCCAGCCATAAATTGCATTCGGAAGAAGAATGCCGGTCATGCGAGCACCCCGAAATTCTAATGGCCACTACAGTGAAATGACCCGTGACTATTCGTGATGCGTTCTATGCATACTGATAGAAATGAGGGACTGACTTGCGGCAGAGTTCTTTGGACCTTCAAACCCTTAAACCGTCAAGTGGGCGATTAGCTAGAGCCAAAAATAGGGTTTGGGGGTATTAAAATCCAAGACTAACGGGGTCGACGCAAAGAAATAGTCGAATAAATTTTGATAGTGGTAGTGATGTCGCCCAAGTGAACTGGTGGTTGACATTGTACATTTGATAAGTCATATGGGAGTGCAAGTTCCCAAGTGTCCCCATCCGGTTCTTTTCGAAGCCACGGGTACCAAAGCTAGGATACCTACAGTGCCCCACAGTCTTTTTGGCACCAATTCCCTTGCTCCCCCATCAAAGTCCATTTACAGGCAGCCCATCCACCTTCGACTTTGGCTCCAAACCCGCTCCGCGACCCGAACCGCTCCGCGGCCGACCGGTGTGACGGTTCTCGGGGCACGAGCGACGGTGCGGCCTGGGGGTGAAAGCGTTGGTGGATGGCATCCCACGCAGTGGAGGGCAAGGTCTTGATGAGATGCCTGGGAGGTCGACGTCGACTGAAAGAGTGGTCCGGGCCTGGTCTGGTCTGAGTCACATGGCATCTCATCGGTCAAGGGTTGTGGCCAAAACCAGAAAACAACAGCTCTGCGGGGTGCTTGGTCACCCGGTTCTCCTTCCCACCAGAAAAAACAGGAGAGACCCTGGGTTGTCGTGGTCTCCGTGCTTGCGTGTTTGCGGCCTCCGGGGTCCGTCCTGTCCGGCCCCCGGGTCTTCTTCCGTCCCGGTCTCGTCCCAAGTCAAAGCGGTGCTTCCTCATCGGTTGGGGAGGTTGAAAAGGGGTCAATGTAGGTAACTAGTCCATACAGGGAGTGCCTGGGAATGTGTGGGATATATGCTTGGGTACGAGAGCCCCTGGTGAGGGTCCACCTGGTATAGACTGCATCATGGGCCTGGACAAGATGTGTACAGTAATCAATGTTAACTCGGTCCTGTTGTGTAGACCTCAGTCCCATGAAGTGTCTGGGGACTGCTTCATCAAATGCGCATCTCGACCAAGTGGCATCTTCTCGACCTGCGGGCTAACGGCGAAGCAAGTGAAAACACTGCATCCCCACAATACGCTTGGCGAAACAGAACTGAGGAGTGAAACAACGTGAAACCATGTGAAACACACTTACCAGGACCATGTTGAACTCCACATATATTATAGACCACACTGGCCTGGTGTTGGGGCGACAAACATCTCCAAAATATTTGGAGATCCTGTCCAGGACCTTCAGCTCGACTGTCCTGGAGATCCCAAAATCTTTCACGAAAATGGTCCTGTTTTACAGGTCAACAGAGATTCTCCCCTTTGAGGTCGCGAACTTTTCAGGTGCGGACATCGGAAAGGTTTTGGGGAAACCAGAGGTCGCGTCTGACGCCTGGGTGAGTGCCTGGGTGAGTGCTGCCAACATCCTAAACTTGGTAACTACGGACTATGGGGGTTGTATTTTGAAGGGGAAAGCTAGCCTCCCTCCCAACCTATGTGTTTGGGTTGATTTGTCCTTCTCACACAGGGGTCGGAACGCCATGCCTATTCTACTACACGCCCATTTGACGCCTTCGGTCACCCCCCCCAGGCGGAGTGTCAATGATCGAATTTCTGGCTGGGGTTCACTCCACCTTCGTTCACCCCAACATCCCCACCTGCGGCGCCACCGGGGCGACCTGCGCGGCAGGAAGGCATTGGATGACACTCCAGAAGGCATGGAGACTAAGCTTTGCCATGCTTTGCCGGAGTAGATCAATTGATCAAGCCAGTTCAATCAAATCCATTGAAATCATTTGAAATCCAGTTCAATATGGTTCAATATCTTTAACCGTATTCTGTGTCTTGATCTGTTTGCTTATTTGCACCAACAGCCCAAGGACTACGGATCCTTGGACGTCTGAAGATATTCAACGTCGCCCCCCCTGTCAGCCTGTCGGCCTCAAACCTTCAGGACGGATCTGTGATGAACCAAAACAGTTATTGCCCTGACTGACTCAAAGATCATAGAAAAATAGAAGATATGGTCTGAATGAGGGACCTGAAAGGGAATTCCTTGACTTTTTGAAGGAATTCGATGAATTAGCGTAGTTGGTAGAGTCTTTGGACTTCTAGGTTTGGGGGCGGTTTTGATGGTGTCCTCGAAATCGAAAGCAGCAGCGGCCCACTCGGACTCTTCGAGGGTCCATGCGCGAAGTAAAACACATGGTTTATGAGGTTGATGAGTTTCATGCGTTGGTCACTACTGTCTACAGTAGGTCCTAGGTACTGCTCAAGGTAAATCAACAAAATACAACCTGGTAAAACCAACTAAGGGTAAACCAAACACTCTTCGAAAGCGACTGATTGATTAGGCGTAGGAGAACACCAACGACATCCAATGACCCAATTGTAAAAGGGCCAAACCAAACCACAAAAAAAACTTCCATGCTCCACTTCCTCTTATCCCATCAAGTGTTGCCCGGAAACCTGGAAGCGCGCGTGGATGGCTTGCCATGCGTCGGCCGGCAAGGTCTGGATTTGCCTGCGACCCAACCGCGATCGCTGCTGGTCAGGCAAGAGTGGTTACGGTGGAACATGAGCACCCACCTGGAACGCTCTCCACTACTCCCTGCCCACAAAGCAATCTTCACAAGCATGGGAAACATACTGGCAACAGGCCATCATCTTCCAAAAGGGAACATGTTGACAAACACAAATCATCACAAATCTAGTCTATTCAGCTAGGCCTGTGATCTCTTAGTACCTCTGGTCTCCATTTCGTAGACTCTCCATGAGGAAAGGCTGTAATTACCAACAAAGATCGAAGGCCCCTATAAACTATCCCATAGATACCCCAGCAGGGTCCTATAAGGTCTCGGACTGGAAAATCAATGCCCAGTTGAGCCCATTGACAACTTGTTCATGAAAAGGTATAGAGTAGTAGCAGTCGTAGTAGTAGCAGTAGCAGCAGTAGTAGGAGCAGTGGTAGTAGTGGTAGTAGTGGTGGTAGTAGTAGTAGTAGTATTAGTAGTAGTAGCAGTAGTAGTAGAGTGGCTTGTGTTCCGGCCACGTCCCTGTTGCCTTGATCTTTTTGGCACCCCCCAAACCCCACCCAAGCCCTGCGAGCTCCCGCCTGCCCACTGCTGCACTGGAGCTGATGGAGTTCACCTGTCGCGAAGTTTCATGAGTCATTGTGTCATTGACCACTGTGTTGGAGTTGAAAGATCTACAGTAAGTCCTAGGTACTGGTTCAGGCAAATCGACATATCACAACCTGGTAAAACCAACTAAGGGTAAACCGAACCCTTGTCGAAAGCGACTGATTCATTTGGCGTCGGAAAACACGAACGGCATCCAATGACCCTATTGTAAAATGGCCAGACCAGTCACACTGTGCGGTTGGAAAAAATTATCCATCCTCCATTTCCTCTTATCCCATCGAGTGTTGCCCGGAAACCTGGAAGCGCGCGTGGATGGCTTGCCACGCTTCGGCCGGCAAGGTCTGGATTTGCCTGCGACCCAACCGCGATCACTGCCGGTCAGGCAAGAGTGGTTACGGTGGAACATGAGCACCCACCTGGAACGCTCCCCACTACTCCCTGCCCACAAAGCAATCTTTACAAGCATGGCAACATACTGGCAAAGGACATCAACGGACCATCATCTTCCAAAAGGGAACATGTTGACAAAACACATCTATTCAGTTAGGCTAGGCCTGTGATGTCTTTGTTCCTCTGGTCTCCATTTCGTAGACTCTCCATGTGGAAAGGCTGCACCAACAAAGATTGAAGAACCCTGTGCCCTATCCCATAGATACCCCTGCAGGGTCCTACAAGGTCTGGGACTGGAAAAAACGATGCCCAGTTGAGTCCATTGACAACTTGTTCATGCTCTATTTTTCGATGTATATAGGTCCCTAAGGGTCCCGGGCCATCCTGAGGATGTCCTTTGACACCCCAAGACCATTCTCTGGAAATACGAACTCACCTCCAAGACCATCCTCAGGAGGTACCTGGACCCTATGGGGGTATTATATCCACGTCCCGGCGATGTTCACAGCTACTTCTTGGCCCTGGTACATGCTTCACGTATCCTCTAGGTTATTTTTGGGCCCAGAGGCGGTCGAAAACATTGTTCAAGGCCAACGCGGTCTGAAAAGTAGTAGTAGTAGTAGTAGTAGTAGAAGTAGTAGTAGTAGTAGTAGTAGTAGCAGTCGTAGTAGTAGCAGTAGTAGTAGTAGTAGTGGTGGTAGTAGTAGCAGTAGTAGTAGAGTGGCTTGTGTTCCGGCCACGTCCCTGTTGCCTTGATCTTTTTGGCACCCCCGAACCCCCACCAAAGCCCTGCGAGCTCCCGCCTGCCCACTGCTGCACTGGAGCTGATGGAGTTGACCTGTCGAAGTTTCATGAGTCATTGTGTCCTTGACCACTGTGTTGGAGTTGAAAGATCTACAGTAAGTCCCAGGTACTGGTTCAGGCAAATCGACATATCACAACCTGGTAAAACCAACTAAGGGTAATCCGAACCCTCGTCAAAAGCGACTGATTCATTTAAGGGAGAACACCAACGGCATCCAATGACCCCATTGTAAAATGGCCAGACCAGTCACACTGTGCGTTGGGAAAACTCCTCCATCCTCCACTTCCTCTTATCCCATCGAGTGTTGCCCGGAAACCTGGAAGCGCGCGTGGATGGCTTGCCACGCGTCGGCCGGCAAGGTCTGGATTTGCCTGCGACCCAACCGCGATCGCTGCCGGTCAGGCAAGAGTGGTTACGGTGGAACATGAGCACCCACCTGGACTCCCCACTACTCCCTGCCCACAAAGCAATCTTCACAAGCATGGCGACATACTGGCAAAGGACATCAAGCGACCATCATCTTCCAAAAGGGAACATGTTGACAAACACATCTATGCAGCTAGGCGTGTGACCTCTTAATACCTCTGATCTCCATGTCCTAGACTCGACATGTGGAATAGATTGAATAGATTTGAATAGCAGCTGTACCAACAGAAGTTGAAGAACCCTATAGACTATCCCATAGATATCCCAGCAGGGTCCTATAAGGTCTGGGACTGTAAAAAACGATGCCCCATTGAGGCCTTTTTCTCGCTATTTTATTAATAGTGCGTTTGGATGCCAGTCCCATGGAGTGTTTAGGAAAGGTCTGTATATGTAGGGTCATGGCTGAATTTGTAGCTGTCGCACTTCATCTTCGGACTATTGTGAACTGCCACGGTGCACGCCACACCAAGGTCTGCAGCCTTGCCCTGCACCTCCGACCCCCAGGCAAGCCCTGCCAAGCCCTGCGCCTGACAACTGGCGCGCTGGAGCTGATCCACTTGGCCTGCGATGTCACGAAGGGGATCCCAACCAGTACTATATGTAGGCCCTAGGGAAAGGCGACCACCCTCCCATCTTCGTGCAGGAAATCTTTGGCTGAAGAATGCCAAAAGCAGCCACTAAAATGACTGAAATATTGAAATTGCCTGCACTCAAACTAGCACCAACCAAAAGCCACAGGGCCACAAGGCTATGGGACGACCCTTTCGCTGTTTGTTTGTTTGTTTGCTTGTCGTTTGTTTGTTTGTTTTTCTCGAGCATGGGGAAAATGCTATAGTATGTCTTCTCATGTCACCATCCTTCAAGGGTTCCTCTGAAAGCAGCCGAAAGCTGTTTTCCAGATTGTTTTCCAGTTGAACCTTGGTGGGTGACAAGTGGAACCCGGCCACATGACCAGTCTCCACATGTCTCTCCACATGTCGCCACATGAACTACGGTTTTGGGATTCGATCGTTTCTCATGGCCCACTCCAGGCGTTCTTTCCAGGCGATCCAAGAGGGGGCCGGATGAAACCCCGGAGCTGCCGTGTGCCGATGTCGGACGAACGGTCAGGACCGGTGGTGGACTTCGGCAGAACAGACGACAAGACGAACAAGTCCCAGAAAGTCCAGAGGGTCCTGGTAGGTTTAGAGATGATTTCTGGACACATTGGACTGGAAGGGGGGAATTGGAGGGGTATCTCTAGAAAGCATTGTGGGCTGGCTTGTTCCGGAATTCCATGCTCTGGACTGACATCTCTTGCTGGCATCTGTATGTCAGCGTCCTGCCCGGTTCCAAAGCCTGGTGAAGGCTTTGTGTGACTGCACGTTTTGCGACCTGCAGAAGACACACATGGAGCACTGGGCCGGGAGGATAGAAGTAGTCAGAAAGAAGCACTGAAGACTCTCCGAATGCATTCATATTGAACATGCTTAGCATGGACTTCACCAGATTTGGTAGAGGACCCAATAGTTTGAAAACCTCTTCGGTTGGGGTGGATCTATTAATCAAGAGTCTATACATTATGCAACTATTCCCGCCCCATTCGTCTGGTCTGGGGAACAATTAACTCCCTCAACGCGTCGCCAATGTCACCGAAAAAGGCGTCACTTCTCTGTCACCCTCGAGCGACCCCCCCGTATGCGGCATTATATACAGCGTCTTTTTAGTCCGCAGCGTTGTGGAAAACATTCCAGAATCCCAATCTCTGAAGCTTCATCAATCTGCCGAATCACATCCGGATCATCAAGACCTTGAACACTATCTGGCTGTGGCTCCGGCTTTTCAACAGACGCAGGAACCTACAGATTTTTAGATGCTGTTTCCTTCTCATCCAGAATGGGTGAGTTTGGATGGTGCCCCATTTCTCTCGAGCCACAGCATGCCCTAGCGTGGCACAGCCTGAAAGCCTGAAAGCCCCTCACCTGGCAAACCATGTTGAAGGTCTCCACCTCCTCTTCATCGGAGTCGGCTTCGCCTGCCACAGTGTCACAGTTGTTTCGCGCCGCGAGAAGCAAGGAGCAAAAGAAGCGACTGGGAGCCTCAGCAATGGTTGCGAAGGTTGGGTGGTTGGTTCCTAGTTTCGAAGTAAGTAGGCAAACAAACAGAATTAGGTGGCCTGATGATGAAGGAGAAGCGCCAACAATTGAAAGTTACAGTCGTTGTTCGGGTCCACATCCCAAACTGAAGAAGGATGGTGACAGCCATGCGGGTTCTGCTTGGATGAAAGCCAAGCGGGCATGTCTGATACAGGCGAATCAACCGAATTCGAGTCTTTAGAAGCACGTCTCCATTCAGAACCCATACCGATCACTCTTCCTGATTAAGGGGCAACCCATGCAGAACACGAAAGACGAACCACCAGCATGTCGTGGTGCGTGTTGTGTTGACGCTTCTGGACGTCGGTCGACCAGGCACCTGAGAGGCTCACCACATCGTCCTCATCATAGTCATCATAGGCTTCCACCACCGAGCCTTCGTCCTGGCGGCCGCGGCAAACCACCAGACGCGACCCATGGGACTGGAAGAGATGCCAAAACGGCCGATCGGTGGGGTGCCCGGTTGACTGGGGGTGTAGGCATATATTCCAGTCCCATGGAGTGTATGGGTATATGGAAACCACAAATGGAGAAGAACACGTCACAACTCCGAAGAGGTCGAAGGTCCTTTTTCGATGCCAGGGTTGGTTTGGGGGTGAGGGTTGGCCTTTTCGATACCAGGTCATCCAAACAGAGCAGGCATCAATGCTCAGCAATGACATCTTAGGCTAGATCCCACCACCTTGTTCCACCCAAACCACGGGAAAAAAACATGTAAGGACGGCTTTTGCTTAGCTGTCTTTCAATGTCTTTCACACACACATGTCACATGTCTCACTGTTGTTTTGATGCTCAACCGGAGAAATACTCTCCAGACACGGCCACATACTCTCAACGGAGCCTGGACCCGTGGAACTGTGGAACGCCCGCAACGCCTCGACGTTCGCTGGGCGTCCACAGGGTCGACGGGGAGGTCAGAAAAGGGTGAACTCGGATGTGCCACCCAAATGGACCACTATCCCTATAGGGATCCCTGGGACTGCGGACTGGCCTTCAAAACGGCCAGGGGTGGTGGTGCCAGGGGGATCTGGCTGGGGCGGCATACATGGCCTGGCAGTCCCAGACGGGTCGTGCAATTTGCTATAGTCTTCTCCCTACAAATCTCTAACAGATTCAGGACCGGACCCTTGTCCAGTCTCCTGGCCTTTGACATGATGCGCATCATATGACCAGTAAGGAGGTGTTTTTTTCGCTGTGCCCTTCAAGGAAGCACCCTACCCTAAACCCTGGAGACCCGGAAGCACCCGAATCCACGGGTCGGTCGTCTGCACCGGCGTCGAGCGTCATCCGGGACCAACGACCAACGGCGTCCTCCGACGTCCCGATGTCCGGGTTTGGATCGAACGACTCACCAGATCCACGGAGTGGATGGAGCGGACGGATCTTTTCTGAAGGAGTGGATTCCTATGGATTCCTTTTCCATCCAAAACGGCCTAGTTCAGCCGAAACGGCCTAATTTTCCATCAGAAACCGGCCCAGTTCAGCCCAGTTCGGCCTACTTCGGCGATGGTCGATGTGCCCCATATATGGCCGACTTGGCCCTGGAGTTGTACGAACAGAAACCTCCCTGTCGCCCAACCGCGGTCCGCAGATCAGTCCTCCGACTCGCACTGCAGCTCCTCCGCCGCGGCCACGGCATCCTGAGGGAGGACACGTCCGGTTTTGAGCGGCGCGAAACGGGCCAGACGAGAAGAGTTCCAAGCAGCGCACCAACACTCCAAACACATGGCATGAGCATTGTGACCAAACAACATCTGATGGTCAACCTGTGACCCGAACGATATTGACTGGGGGGGCTACACAGGCCTGGACAAAATCACTTCCAAACGCGATTGTCTTGTATCCACTTCCGCCTTCAGTGTTCTAGTGATACAGTATATGTCATATCATATATAATCATAACCCAAACACTCCATGTATGCCTACATTGGGGTGGTTTGGGGGGTCAATGTAGGCATATATGGCATACATGGAGTGTTTGGGTAATCATAATCGTATCATAATTCTAAGCGATTCCAATCAATTGGGGACTGGACTCACCAAACATTCAAAACTGGACTCACCAGCTGCTTCCGCTCTGCCATTCCGTCCGGCTGCACGGCCTCAGACCTCCGACCTCCGACCTCCGGTCTTCCGCCCGACGTCCAGCCGCCCCTCGACGTGTCGTTGAGCAGACGTCCTCCTTCAAAGCATTTTGGATGAGGTCATCCACCACCATGCGCGCGCAGAAGTCATTCATCTCAACGACCTCTCACACACCCCACGGCGAAGAGACGACGCAAAGTGTTTTTCTGCTGGTTTGGCCGCTTCTGACAGGTCCAGGTGCGTCTGGGTTTACCGGGTGGGCGGAAAGTCCAAACTGATGCTGGAGGGGTGGTTCATCCATTCTTAAGTACCAGGGCCCCCCCTGGTTTCGCACATGGCAAGCCGCCCAAAACGAAGCGCAACGCGGTGTCCGTCTTCACGGGCCCATAAGGTCCATGGATCCATGCCGAAGCACCCGGCCGTTAAGCGAAGGCGTTCGTGACCGTCCAGGACCTTCCCAGTGGCGGGAAGGTCACGAAGTAAGGCTGAATGATCTCAGGTCACGTATACCAATCCTCAAGAGGTCACGAGTGGAAGGTCCTGGTATTCCTTCAAAAATCTTCTTACAATGGCTATATAGAAACTAGAGATACGCATTCCGGCCAAGTGGGCAGTGCCTCACATTTCTCACCAAATCTCCTTGGTCCGCGCTCGCCGAGGACACCCACTTTTGTTCACGTTAGGACTTGGCCGGCTTGGCGAGGTACATGCCTTCGACGCATTCTGCTGCGCCTTCAGATGGCCTTCACCGCCACCCGTGGTGCAGGTACCCAGCCCTGCTTCGGCCAAGCCGCCGGCGTCGACCCGGTCGCCAGAACCGTGGTGTTCTTCGGCGCTGAACCGGAGGTTTTTCAGTGCCAAAGAACGGAGGCTTCGAGGCAAGCGAGGCACCGCTTCGAGGCTTTGCTCGAAGTGTTCACCGAAAGAGAGGGTTTCTAGGGAAGGTGGCCAAGTGAGCGAAGAGAGGCGTTGGTTGAAGTTCTTGCCTGAGAGAGTGAGGAAGCTGCAAGTGAACTGTCAAGAAGTAATCTTTTGACCCATGGATACGCATGGAACCTGAAGTTGAGTGGATGGAAGTGTACTCTGCCACTTTCGATGCGAGTTTAAACTCTTGGTTTTTGCGGCTGGACATTTTGGGGGATGAGAAACTATAGGGGATCAGAGGTGACTTGTCTCTGCTCATCTTCCAAGCTCATGTTCAGCAGCCAAGTAAGCTGGATATATCGTGGATATAGCGTGCTTGATTGTGAGGGGTGAAGTACTGCCTTGGAGGCCAAACCCAAAAGGAAAGCAGGATCTCAAAAGGGACCCGAGCTTCTGGACGATCCTGGACGTTTGGCAAATGCACAAACTTGCAGTCTGCACATTTTCCGGGACACGTCGGTCGACGGGTCTCTAAACCAGTCCAGGGACACTCCCAGGAATCATGGTATGGAGGTGGATGGCCCTGACTTCCGAATACCAATCGGTGGTTTTCACTCCACTTCCATTATTATTGCAGACAGTGTACCTGGAGCCTGGAGTCATCCTGAAGTCATCCTAAGTGGTAGACCGTCCAGCCATCTGAGCAGTGGAGTAGCACTGGGGACATACTGGAACCCTATCTGCCAGGACCTTCAGGTTTTGAGTCTCTAAACTTGACCTTTTACAGGTCTTTTTGTGACCTCGTCCCAGAATCTCAATCTTGGCCACTTTGAAGGTCCTGGCGGATGGTTTCTGAAAACCCTTGCACCAGGCTTTGAGGCTGACCGAGTACCCGAATTCTTCGACCGAGTTGCCAAAGATCAGCTTCTGCAAGTGGCTGGGCCAGGCAACTCCATCCAAACTCCGGTTGAAACGCTCGCCCAACGTTAAGCTTCTGAGGCTCTCGGGCAGTCTCACATGCTCTAAGCTCTGGTTGAATCGTTCGCCAAAGGCCAAGGACTGAAGATGCTCGGGCCAAGTCACGTGGTCCAGGCTCAAGTTAAAACGATCGCCCACGGTGAGGCTCTCAAGGTGACTGGGCCAAGTCCTCCAGCGAGTGTAGGACGGCTCTTGGAGGTGGAAACCAAGACGTTGTTGCATAGACGGCATAGATCATAGCTCCAAGTAGTAGAGTAGTAAAAAGGATTCAGCTTAGGACTCTGGAACTAGGCTTGGCCTGTTCTTGACATACAAACCAGTCATCCACCGGTTCTTCCAACTTAAGTCTTGTGTCACTTGCTCCAGGCTCTGATTGAAGCCATGACCAAGGACCAGATGTCGTAGTCCACTGGGCAAACTCATCCGCTGCAGGGTCTGATTAAAGAATTCGCCGAAGGTCAAACTCCTGAGATCCAAACTTCCGAAGGGTGGGTCAGGACCCTATAACCCTATATATCCTAGGGCTCCAACCACCTCCTGAGAAGATGGTTGGGTTGTTTTTGGGGGGTCTAACCACCTTCTGAGGAGATGGTTGGAGCCCTAGGGATAGACTATCCCATACCCAGACACTCCACATTGGGTCCTACAAAACGGTCACGTGATACCTCTCTTGGATGGTCGCGTCCACTGTCCTCCACTGTCCGAACCCCACACCGGCCGGTATCTCAGCAACAAGTACTCAATCGCCCACGTGTCACATTTAAGGATACCCACACATGTCACACTCATCTTATCGAGCTCGTGTGAGAAAGTCACCCCAGAATCACACAGTTCCTTGGTGCAAACATGTCCAACCAACCTCCCCCAACAAAAACATCTGCTGCCAGGACCTTTCGTTCGTGACCGTCCGTGAGATCCGTTCGTGGCGGCGGGTGAGGTCACGAAGTAAGGCCTTATGATTTCAGGTCACGTATACCCCCTAGGGCTCCAACCATCTCCTCAGAAGGTGGTTAGACCCCCCTGGCACCCACCCCAACCATCTTCTCAGGAGGTAGGCCAGGAGCCCTAGGGACCAATCCTCAAGAGGTCACGAGTGGAAGGTCCTGGTCTTCTGTTCTTTCCCCCAAGTCTCTCAAGGCTCTCGGGCCATGTCACGTGCTCCAGCGCTTGGTTAAATCGGTCGCCGAAGGTCAAGCGGCGCAGGCCTTTGGGCAAGATCACGCCATCTAAGCTTTGGTCAAATGCACAGCCGAAGGTCAGGCTCTGCAGAGTGTCGGGCAAGGTGACTTGGAGCAAACTCTGATTGAATCGAAATCCAAAGGTCAAACTCTGAAGCTTGCTGGGCCAAGTCAGTCGCTCTGGGCGATTAAATTCACCACCAAAGGTCAAGATCTGAAGACCCGGGGGCCACGAAACTTCCTCTAAGCTCTGATTGAAATTCCAGCCGAAGGTCAACGTCTCCTTAGGCGTTGCCGCTGCCGATGTCTCGCGCGACCGACTCTCCCTCGCTTTTCGTGAGGTTGGGGCGGAAATCACTGACATATTCCTGAGTGATGTGCAGTCCAGTGTGTCCCAAGGCTAGCCTCACCAACATCCAATCCAAGTGGGCGACCTTGTTTTCGGGTCCAACCGGTGAAACTCGGCGCTAGGAGCGGCGTTCGCCTTTGATCTCACCCCTACCGGTGAGCCGGGTTTGGGGACCCAACGAAACACACCCAGACACGACCTGTCTGGGACTGCCAGTCCGGACTGCCGCCCCAGCCAGACCCCCAGTCAACCACCCCAATTGATCAGTAACTATGCCAGTCTCATGGAGTGTCTGGGACACGTAGCAGTTGGAGACCGGGAGACTCGACCACCTCTGGGACAGGTGATGAAGGACGGGAGACCCGGACGCGACGACGGGCGCACTTCGATGCACCGAAGTTATCGAGAGCGGGAAAAAAGACACCCAACAGGTCTTCTCAAAACCATGGAAAAACAAGGGCTTGCAGCGGCTTGCACAATACAAAAGCCATGCTTTTTGCTAGGCTGCTAGGGCTAAACCAGGTTTCTGAATGTTTTTGATGGTTTGGTGGGGCCCCTGGTAACAGGTGTTCTCAACATGCAAGAATCGAAAACACCAGGTGTTCGGCCTTCGGACATTCTTCTCGGGCCAGCTACAAGTGGGGCATCGAGATCCGGCAGGCCCACCATCTTGGATGGGTAGTCATGGTGGGTCCTATCTGCTCTCTATCTGCATCTGCATCGATCTGCCTATGTACGGCCAATAAATTTTGCTGAAGGTCCCAAGGTGACCAATCATTGATCTGTGTTCAAAAAGCACCTACACCCCAGAGGACTTAGTAGTAAATGTCTAGTACTATGTCTAGTCAATAGACGAGTGTTTCAAAACTGATTGATTCATCCGTGGGGTGATGTCCAAAGCCCTCCAACGCACTCTTTTGCCTGCAGAGTGTCCAAATTGGGCCAAGCAATCCCGTCCAACGGCTGGTTGAAGCGTTCGCCGAAGCTCAAGCATCGCAGCGTCTCAGGCAAAGCCACTCGTTCCAAGCTCTGGTTGAAGGTGCTGCCAAAGCTCAGGCTTTTCAAATCCGCTGGAAAGGCCACCTCCCAAGAGAGAGGTTCTGGTCACTGGTTGTGAGGCGGGAGTTGTTCAGGGTCTTGACAACGGCGGGTTTTCACTTGGGATTGACCAATGGATGCCCTCAGTTGAACTAATATATAACATTGTGTAGCTTGTTGAAACCAAATATCCCTATATAGGGTATAAAAGAATGAACACGAGCCTCAGGGTGAGATGATCGATCTCTGTTTATTTGCATCTATTTGCTCAAGCAAGGTTCACCAAGTGACCTGCTCCAAACTCCGGTTGAAGTAGCAGCCAAAGGTCAAGGTTTGGAGGCCCTTTGGCAGTGCCACTCCTTCTAAGCTTTGGCTGAATCGAAGACCAAACGTCAAGTGCTGCAGACTTGCAGGCCATGACACTCGCTTCAGACTCTGGCTAAAGTCGTTACCTCACTGCAGGGACACACCAATCTGGGTGAGAAATCCTTCCCAGGGTGAGAGACCGTTGGTCGTCAAACAGAAAGTCTCTAAAAACCAAGTCCTACCAGCTCTGGGGATATAATCTTGCGGTATCCCCGCTTGTGATCACAACTACAGTTGATCAGTTGGAAGTCATTGGTCATTGGACAGTATAAACCCCTAGACGTAGACACGTCAGCACTTCTTCCGTCGTTGGCCACGATGTCACTGGTAACCAGGGTTCAGGTTCCTTGTGACTCGTGGTTGCCTGGGATCCAGCGGGTTTCAGATGAGTTGCCGAAGGTCAAGCTGTTCAAGCTCGGCCAGCGTAGACGATCCAGGCTCTGATTGAAATCGTCTCCAAAGGTCAAGTGCTGAAGGTTTTTGGGCCAAGTCGAGTGCTCCAAAGTCTGATTGAAATGTTCGCCAAAGGTCAAGACCTCCTGGGCGAGAAGGTGAGTGCACCGCTTCGCTGGCGAGGCACGGATTCCCCTAACCGCTTTCACACCATGTTTGCAGACCTGAGTACGAGTGGTACGGTAGTATTCCTCAACACTCCATATTATGGAATGTAAGTCTACTTTGACCCCTGAAACCGCGTCTGGAATTTTGTGCTAAAATCTGCCCGACAGACAGGGTGAATCAAGAGCTTCAAAAGGATTTGTTTTGAGCCACTCACTTTGCCCAAAGCCACCTGCATCGCTGCGTAGCTTTTAGATAGATTGCTTTGGTGGATATAAAACCCGCCCCCTGTTTTTTAGACCCCTCCCAACATTCCCAACTACCCCCTTTCCATCAAGCCATGTCTCCAGGCTGTGTGGCCACGCGACGCGTTCCAAGCTCAAGTTGAAGCGCTCGCCGAAGCTCAGCTGCTGCAAGCCGCTCGGCCAGCTCCAACGCTCCAAGGAGCGGTTGAAAAGAGATCCAAAGCTCAAAGTCTTCAGACTCGCCTCAGCTGAGACTCTTTCCCACCCGTCACCCGTCACCGGGCCGAGAAAATGCCCTTCCCGTCCGGGTCTCGGCATCGGAGTGGCTCGGTGCCTGGAGAGAAAGGCACCGAACAAGCGGACACCAGGACACCAGCTATACCGGGTGATAAGGGGTGTCGATAGCCCCCAAAAAAGGTGAGGAACGGGTTGTCCATTCACCACCCCGACAGTGGGTCCTATTATATATATGAAAATAAAGAAAGACAGACCCCCCCCAAAAGAATGCAGAAAACAAACAACATCAAACAACAGTGGTTGCCTGGCGAAGCAACATGTCGATGTCGCCGCATTCGATGTCTTGCTCAAGCGCCGGTCTCCGGTAAAGAAAAAGGTGTACTCTGCAATGCCACGCGGCAGGCCAAGTCACGAGCTCTAAGCTCTGGTTGAAGTCATGACCAAAGGTGATACCTCGGAACGAGGTGCGACATGGTGCGACACGAATGCTCAGCTCTCTGCTATGAGATGAAAAGAGAAAGTCAGGTGCGATATCAATGTGATGATCGTGTGATTTGATCGTGGGCTATGTTCGTGCGCCCCTGGATGTCTTCCTGGATGTCCCTGACCATGCAAACGAGATACTTTGGAGAGATGGAGGCCAAGTCACGCCGTCCAAGGTCTGGTTAAAGCTTTTGCCGAAGGTCAAATGCTGGAGACCACTGGGCCAAGTCACACGCTCTAAGCGTTGGTTGAAACTCTTGCCAAAGGTCAGGCTCCTGGATACGCATACGATCTCACAATTTGATCGGCTGAAGTGCCTCAATCCATACACTTTCGTTCTTGGGTGGTTTCTCCATCGAAAGCTACTGTACCAGCACCCTCCACCAGTTCTCCTTTGGAGGGTTGTTAGGCCCTGAGAGGTCTCAATTGGTGACCTGTTGGAGGGTGCTGGTATGGTTTCTTTATCTAAATCTCTCCCATCAGAAACAACTTCAGCTCCGATCCCACGGCTCCTGAGGCTACTGGGCAGCTGCAGTCGTTCCAAACTCTCGCTGAAATCAGGTGAAAAGCTCAGAGTCTGCAGGGTTTTGGGAAGTTCTCTGAGTTGATCCAAGGAATGAATTCCTTCCAGCTGAGTTAGACCATCTAGGGCGATTTCTTCATCATCAACTGATAGGCCAGAAAGGAATCTCCAGGCATCGTGCAAGCTACTGGGCTCGTAGACATACGAGATGCATAGCTCGAGTCCATCTCCAGTGCTCTCTTCCTGGGTCCCAGTCGGCTTCGAGAGGAGGTTACGTGGTATCCGAGGATTCCTGGACGATTTGATAGTCTTTATATACCGAACCACTATTGTTGTACTATAGGGATTTTGCATGATTCTACACCAGCTCAACCGTCTAAAAAGTGTTCCAAACAATGGGAGCTCGTGCGAAGATCGCTTGTGTTGGGCCTCTGGCTGTTTGCTTAGGGAACTGGGATAGATGGGAATCATTCCAAAGGCCACCCTATGTACAAAATACTTAGCTAAAGGTGCATGAAGTTCTCTTGGGTCCTTCCAAGTCATTCCCATCTTCCCTTTGGAGCACCAAGAATTCCAGGCCTGGGAACCGGGCTGTCTCTGGCAGATCAGTCACTCCACTGTCACGCCCCAGCTCCTCCCTAAAAAGCCTGTCGCCTGTCGCTCCCTTCCGGAGTCCGCCCACCATGGTTTCAACCTCCTAGACCCTGCATTGGGGATCACGGCAAACCACCTAGTGCCGTTTTTGGTTTAAACCAGTGGTTTCAAAGCCGACCTAGAAACTCGGGATTTTTAGAGTGGCTGCCCTTATCTATCCACTGGCAATGGTTCGGTTTGGGCGTGAACAAACACCTGGTTCCATCCTGGGTCAGACCGGGTCAACCACGCCTGTCCAAGGCCAAACAAATACAGTATCTGGTTTTACTGGGCTGCGCTTACGCAACAAAGTCGATCGCAAAATGTCTGCATGAGATGCATTGTCCTTTTCGGGCGCATCATGGTTCCACAACACCATCGAACCATGAGTGTTCCGTCGCTCCAATGCGTTCCGCAATTGGCCCAAGCCCAAGGTTCTTTCAAGGTCTTCTTCAAGGAAAGCATCCGAGATCCTTTCCTGGTGACAAAACCAACAAGGCATTGCAAACGGCCCCATGATGGTTCTGTGGTCTACAGTATTCTTTGGGGCGCCCAATGCGTTTTTTTGGTACAGCATATGGGGCTCCAACTGGAGCTCCATCTATCGTCTGCTCCATCCTGCCACAAGATCCTTGGGTTCAACCTCTCCAGGAGGAAAACTCGAAACCCAGGAGAACTGCTTCGCTGCTTCGAACGTCTTCGAAGCGCCGGAACCCTCAAGCGCCGGAACGTCCCACATCCTTTCTTGAAGCGCCGGAAGGAGTTATTCCTCTTTCAATGTGGTTGGATAAAATCTCCTATATGCAGAGGTGTTTCAATCCACATTGGGGGGAGTTCTGTTCATCAACATTACATTCCACATGAAATAGTGTATAAACAAACGGAAGCTCTTCACGAGTTGGTCCCAACAGACCCTCAACTATAGGACCCCTTTTTGACCACAAGTTTTGGTGTCAGGCTTCTGCAGAGAAACTCGAGCACCAGCTTTGGCCGCCAGCCGCTCTCCAAGGATCTTTCGAAGGTGCTTCCCCGTGAGAGATTCAGGAACTCTGACCACCTCAGATGTCAAGCACTGGCACTCAGATGTGAAGCCTATAGTTTGACGTGTTTTTGATGTGTCTTTTTTCGTTGTTGTCGTTGTTCTTAGTGCCATAATAACATATCTGTTCTTGTTGTTCTTTGTTTTGTGTGTGTGAGGCTGTAACTACAAAACTTGTGTTCCAACCCTATATTCTAGCCCCACTCGCGTGGAATTGACCCGAAAGCAACGAACACGTGCCAGTTCTACAGCGGACCCACCATGGAATCAGCGTATAAATGTGTCGAAGTAAACTAGGCCTGGTAGATCATAGGAGTCGGAGTCGGGCCCTGTTGAAGCCTGTTGAAGTTCGTGGTCTGTTAAGTTCCATTTCCCCGAAAAAATCGTCTCCCTGTTTCGCTTCGCCAACCCAAAGCCTTCACTTCAACCCAAGGCACCACGCCTTCGCCATCCAAACCCAAAGCCTTCACTTCCACCAATCGCTCCACGGCGGAAGTACCCCCGTGAACGGGCCGACCGTGACCGTGCGGCCGACTGCCACCGGGCGCGCCGTTCGGCCGGTGAAGTCCGTAAGACATCGGTGGAGGGGTCGACACCTCCTGCAGCGTCTGGGTTCGGCAGTTGGGTTCGAAAAAAGTGATGTTGTTTTCAATGGTTTTTTTTCCACATCTTAGATCTAAAAATTTCACGAGTTGGTAGAGCGCTCTTTCAGGGTCCTGTCAAGTAGTGATTCACGGTACCAGCACCCAGCATTTCAGAAAACTAATACCTGGTGCTGGTATACATTCAAACGAATTGCCCAGTGCCCTACACGACTGCGCCACCCGGCAATTCGTCCCGTCCTGCGCCACCCGTCTGGCCGCTGCCCAGCTACGACGCAGCGCACATCGCGGTGCGGGTCGCGCGTGGCGCACGGGGCGCACGGGGGCCACTGCGACCCAACACGAGCAGCGAACGGAACGGAACGGCGCTGGGAATTGTTTGTTGGAATCGTGCACCATGATTGGTGCCCTGGATCCTCGGAATCGAGATGGGTGGACCTGGGTAGCTGTCACCAGGAAACCAACATCTTGATGATTCCTTTACTCTACAGCATTAATATCTAGCATATTGTTTTCGTTGGTCACCCTCTTCTGGTCAACCCCATCCGTCCCTACTCGGTCAGGACTCACTCTGCCGTGCCCAAAAACACACACTCCCGCTGGCAACTGGCCGCCAGCCGTCAGACCCATCCACCCCCAGACCATCCATGGGACTGGAATCTAGTTGCATGTTGCATTACATGTCAATGTATATATACAAGAAAAACGAACACCAAAATGTCTCATCCCAAACTGTAGGCTAGGTCACTCTTATTCCAGTCCGATCATCCATAAGGCACATGATGGCACATGGCTCCATGGCTCCGACCTTGTTCATTCCTTTGCGCGGCCGAGCCATCACGGGCTTCGGAGACGTGGGAACTCGGCTCTTCGTCGCGACCATGGCTGCCTGGGCCCGCAGATCTGGCACGGTGGAGGTCGCTCCCAGACACGACCTGTCTGGGACTGCCAGTCTGGACTGCCGCCCCAGCCAGACCCCCCATGGCACCACCCCAATATCTAAATATACCAGTCCCATGGAGTGTGGTGAAAAGCGGGTGATGAGCCAGAAGGCTCCGATTGAATCAAGGAATGAGGTGGACCAGATATCTAGACTTGTCACATTAGATGTCTCCAGAAACTTGACCAGTCAATGGTTGGCCACACTGGTCGCGGTATGTCGCAGTCTGATTCCGAGACCGCAGGACACCCCAAACGTATCAGGAGACACCACAACATATCTCAAAAACACACGTGTGTGGCTCAAAACTCGGAGCCCTTCAAGCCCTGGCAAGTTGACCACATCTTCTGTTCTATTCTGTTCTTGTTCCATCTGTTCGTCAACCAGGGTTCCCCCCATGTTGACCCATCCCCATCCTTGAACTCATCCGGCCGTCCAGGGGGTGCATCACTCGATCCACCCGATCCACCCGATCCATCCATCGCCGGAGCCTGAGAAAGGTTCTGCGTCCACACGGATCTCAATAAATCCCTCGCAATTACTGCTTTGGGCGAGTGCCGTGCTGGAAAATAAAAGGCTGCGGAGTTCGATGCTGCGCGTGCGCCATATTGTGGCATGATGCGGAGCGGAAAGTTGCAGGAAAGGGACTGGGTCACATGAAAAAGTGGATTTGAAGAGCTCTGAAAGGTGTACACCCAAGTAGGTCCACGACAGAACAACAAAGTTGAACACCCAAAAAGCAACACTCGGATTCACTTTGACCTCCAAACTCACAAGAAAGACCATTTCCAAGTAACTATTTGCTACTATGATTGTGGTGTCTTTAGGACCTCCAGCTTCCAGTTTGAAAGGTGTCCCATCTCAATCCTCTGTGCCTGGATGGAGATCTGAATTAGCTAGTAGTAGAAGGTGGGTCATTTGGCCCTTGCAAACATGGATTGATGCCAAAAGACCTCCGGGGGGGTACTTGAGTGATTTCATTTGGATGTTCAGGTAGCTTTGGCACCCATTCCCGTCCGGGTGCTTATCAACTAAAATAGTGCGACATAGAGAGGCCTCCCAAAGACCCCCTGGAAGAAGGACAATCGACCAAAACCCGGTTGGGGAGTTCCCTATTCAATGAAGTACACACCCATCTCCCTGGTTGAAGATTCCTTTCGACATTGTGCTTCAGCACCTGAATTAGCTTGGGTCCCAAACAATCGCTCTTCGATCTAAAAGAAAAGTCTGCCTTACGAACCCAAACCAAGAAACCAAGAAACCAAACAATCACCAAACCTCACAAAGTTCTGGAAACAACCATCACCTGCACCTGCGGCGCGATCGAGTTGAACAGTTCCCAGATCCCACCAGTCCCAGATCCCACCCCCGAAAGCCCACTGGCTTTTCACCCAGTCCATAGTGTCCATAGGTCGGGGGAACACTTCTTGAGCCGCACAACATGAACAAACAAGTTGGAAGGACAAGACCCAGCCGACAAAAAGGTCAAATTGCTTCATGGTCAACGAATCCATTGGAGGTCAACGAATCCTGTTACTAGAAAGACCTTGGAAGGGCCCTGGTTTTGATGAAGACCTGGGTCAAAAAGTCCTCCAAAGCCTCACATCCCCAAATATCTTCCCACACATGCCGGAGACTGTCGGCGCGCACGTGCCGCGTTTCGGCGCCGCGACGTGCAGCGCCCGCTCGGGAGGGCTCACCCGTCTGCTTGGGCGCGGCGTCGCACTCGAAGCGTCCACTCAAGTCGCAGCAGTCGACGCCCACCTGGGCGTAGACAGGCATGGCCCCTTTCATAGCAGTGCCGTGTTTTGCGTCTTTTTGGGGGGGGAAGATAGGGGAAGGATTCCGATCAAAAGAAAGCTCACGGACATCACCATCGTATTGGGGGAGTTTCCTCGATTTTTCATGGGAATGATTAGGATTGATACCTTCAGCCTGGCTTCTGACTTCCAAGAAGGAAGAAACCAGCAGTAGGATTGATCTAGATGGCATCACTAGGATTGATCCCCTCTCTCCGAGACACTCTCCAACAACTATGGGTTGGATAGGAAGCTCTGCAGAAGACTACAACCGCTGGATGATAAGCCTCTTGGAAGACTGCGGCTTTCAGAATCGCCATGCGCGAAGTGTTTTCAGACTTGTTGGCCAACGCAGGGCCGTTAGAGACGCTGAGTTCAGACTGGTAGACTGGTACACCAGTGCCTGCTGCTGGCGGCAGGGGAGATCTCCCCTTCCTTGGTCCGTATAAGGCTCTTCTTCAATAGGAAAGCACTGAGTGACCGTCTATCTAACAAAAAGAGCCTGTCATCATGCGGAGACTGGAAGTCCTTGGACTCCTTTGGACCAGCATCACAAGTGACTGGACTCCCCTTTGGAGTCTTGATTGAGGTCCTTCTCCCTGGCTGATCCAAGGAGTACACCAAGGAACACCTCTGTCTCAACTCTCAACCTCTCTTCAGAAGCCAAGTCCCGCTTCACGGGCCCCACCAGGAAAGCAACTGCATTCACGAACAACATCGAACAAAAAAACACCAACCCCACCCCACAACCCCCAGAACTGCCAGAACCCCCAACTCACCAAAGACCACTTCACCCTTGGCTCCCGGTCCCACTCTCTGGGCTCCCCGGACCGCCCAAAAGTTCACCGGCGCCTCCGCCTCCGCGTGGCTGCCAATGGGCGCGCAACAGTACCTGAAAACAGCGCCGGCACCCGCCCGCAGGTACGGGTCTCGGAAGGAGACACTGGCACATGTACATGCGGGTATTTATGAGAGCGGGAAGAGAGCGGTGAGAAGAGTGCACCATCCCATCCCGGAGTTCCCGTGGGTATTCTTGGGGAGCCTTCAAAAAAGACATCTATGGGATGGGGAGATCTTCATGAGATTTTGTACTCAAATGCCTCAAAGAAGGATTTCTGATCTTGAACCCTGTCAGTTCGTGGCCCTTTAGGCGTGGTTTGCGTCTCCAGTTCTCTTCCCCCCCCCGGCGCTGGGGGGCCCTACAGGTGTCCATCCGGTGCTTTGAAGCCCACGGACCGAGACTGGTCCAGGAACGCCTCGCTTTCGAACGACGGAAGACGAGCAGCGCGGCGCTTTCTCGCCGTTGGAAACGACGCGCGGCGAGACACACCACCATGTCTGTCTTGGAATTCTGCCCACGCTACAAAGAAGAGAAGGAAGTGAATCATTCGTTCCATGGAGACGGTTGTTTGTTCACATGGTCATGGTTTGAGAGCTTGGCATCGAAATTTGACCAGTGGATTTGTGTGCAAAACTGGACCAAATCCAGAGGACTATCCACAGAACCCAAGGGAATGTGCCCATGAAGAATTATAACTCATCTTGTGGCCAGGCTGGTCACTAGCAACTACCTCGACAACCTACATAAGACTTGTATATAATTAAACAAGGTGAGCCTGCGGACAAAAGCAAAACGAAAGGTCTTTTTCTCTCTTGGGCGTGTGGATGGAAGGACGGGCGTGGACAGGGTGTGGATGGAAGGTGGAGGGGGGTGGAAGGGGGCGTGGATGCTTCCTGGAACGGGGTGTGGATGAAGGCGCGACGCGGGAGGGTGGACGGGGTGGACGGAGGGAAGGACGGGGGTGTGGATGGAAGGTAGAAGGGCTCGCGCCCCTCCATCTTCCATCCACGGCCCCGTCCACGCCCGTCCACCCTCCCATATCGCGCCCCTCCATCTTCCATCCACAGCCCCGTCCACCCTCCCGTATCGCGCCCCTCCATCTTCCATCCATAGCCCCGTCCACACCCATCTGCCGTCCACCAAAATGCCTGCCTCGTCTCGCTACCCCCCTCTTTTAACTAAACGAGAACCCAAGCATCGGAGATGCTTTTGGGAAAAACACACTTGATTACTTGATACCTCTCACACACCAACCAAAATGAAAAGAACATCCTAGGAATCCTATCTGTTATCAAGTTTGTTGTTTTGATCGACGGTCGCCTGGTGCATGATCTGCCTCCTTCCTTGCCTTCGGGCTCAACCAAAAGCCGCTGCCACACCCTCCCATCAATCACCTCTCTCACTGATCCTCAAAGCCTCCAAGAAGACATGAATCAAGGCATCTGCCAGACATGATCACAAGCACATACTAGCACCTTCCTGCGGCCTTTAGATGGTGAACACATGATGGCCTGAGGGTTCTAGCTTTTGGTTGTGTGTCGTACATATCTATACTCTCTAGCACCCCACGATGTGGAAGGGCGTGAGAGGCGAACGTTGGATCGATCGCGAGTTGGTGTGGGAACCAAAACTGGTCTGGTGGAGGAAAATGCACACTCAGCCCACTCAGTCCGAAACAAAAGAAAAAGCGCTGCGTGCCGTTCACGCGGACCGCGAGAATGAACGCGCACTCCGCGTCCGCGCCTCCGCCAGACCGCAACCCGAACGGTTCGCGCGCGCTGTTCACCGCCGCGAAGCGCCTCGGCAGCGAAGGTGATCTTCGCGCCGTCTGCCACGATCTGCGGATCCTCCGAGGAGACCACGTTCTCGTAGCTCCTGGCTGCGCAGGTTGCGCGGGGTGTGGCTGCAGGTCGCGGGCGTTCGCACGGCCGCGGTTTCGGTTGGGCTCACCTGTCGCCACGAGACGCAACGCGAGCGTCTTGCCGTCATGTCATGTCTGGGAAGTCGATCTGCGGGGTTTGCCTATAGGGCTCAAGATTGCCTAGCTTTTCAGTTAGGATCCACTAAGGCGTGCGCAGTAAAAAAAAGAGTGTGCCTATATGTTTGACGAGGAGCCCCTGGAAACACGAGGAGCCCCTGAATGCTTCAGTCCAGAAATGCATCAATTGTTCATCGAATTGAGCCAGTGTCCTCGCATGATCCTGTAAACAAAAAACTTTGGTTGAAAGAGAAATGATTGGGGGATTGGATTTGGAGCAAAGTTTGATTCCGCAAATGGATTGCCGGCTCATATCAGTCATGTTGCGAGTGGTCTTTGAGATACCAAACTGCATGTACTGTGCAATGGCCTCCAACATCCTCCAACCAATTTGCAATGGCCTGAGACCCAACCTACTTGCGACGGCCTCCAACCGAATAGCGATGGCCTCCAACCAAATAGCCAATGGCCTCCAACCTAATAGCAATGGCCTCCAACCTAATTGGGATGGCCTCCAACCTAGCCATTGCTAGGTGTTCTGAAAGGCCAGTAAACTCTCGAAACATTTTTTTCCATACCAGTGCCCACAGGGATCGTTCAAACTCATTCCAGTCCCGACCTGGTGCTTCAGACTCGCCTCCAGTCACGGAGTTCGAGAAACGCGCGTTGACTACTATAGAGTGAACCAAAAACAGTACTGTCCACACACCGGCTTCCCCCTTCAAGTGATTTTCTGTTAATGCTCCGTAGAAACCTCCCCATCCTCACATCCTCGCCCGCTCCATGTTTCTTCTTCCGCGCCCGCGCGCGTGCCATGTCCGGTTCGGGCACCCGACGTTCCGTCGGGGTGAAAAAACATGATTTGGGAATTTCAGTTAGACTATATTATGCCTTTGTGAGCCAAATCCAAGTCGTCCACCCTGTAAAAAATAGGAGAATTCGACCATGTTTTCAGACGCGTGGAGAAGAAAAGCTGGTGTCAAACGTCCAGTCATATTA